ATCAGAGAAAACAAACAATCAAAAATGTTAGTATCACTGTGATTAGGAAGTTATGTATCCACAAAATGCCTTGATTTCTGAAAATACAAATGCAAATAAGTTCATTACTATGTATTATACCCATACTAGAGGTGAATGGCACTGTAATTGAGATAGAATAAATTACTTCAAAATAACCACATGTTGTTGTATACACACTCCTGGAATGGGGCACAGAAAGAGAGAGAGAGAGGCGTTACTTACAAGCGTATAATATAGGCCAGTCCTCTCCATCTCTGTATTTTAGGAAATCAGTCATGTTTCTTGTGTGAACCCCATTGGATGACCTTGAGTAAGTCACATGCTCTCAGTCTCAGGGGAAGGCAATAGCAAACTTCCTCTGACGAATTCTTGCCAAGAAAACCTGTGATAGGGTCACCATAAGTGAGAAATGACTTGAAGGCACACCACCACCACCACCATAGCAACAATCATTTTCTGACACACAGAGTGAGAAAATAGGACAAGACGTGGTGGGTGGATTTAAATTTTAAAAGCAACCTTCCCCAATGGTGATTTCTCCTATCAGCTTTGAAGACCCTTCCCCCCCCCCCCCACACACACACACATCAAGAAAGCCTGAAGGCTTTGCAGTTTGAAATGTAGGATGGTTAAGCAGTGCCTTAAAGTGCTGGAGTAGATACAAAGATAGGGAAGTTAGTAGAAAAGAATAAATTGACGCATAATGCTTTTTATGGGTTTTTCAGCCTATGTGGCCATGTTCTGCGAGAACATGGAATGTGGTCATGTTCTAGAAGATGTTGATCCTCTGAAGATGCCAGCCACAGATGCAGGCGAAACATCAGGGATAAATTCTTCCAGAACACAGCCACAAAAAAACTATGGTTTGAGTGTTGGACGACAACACTGGAGACAATGGTTCAATTCCTCTCTCAGCCATGAAACCCACCTTAGAGAAGTCATAGATTCTCAGCCTCAGGGGAAGGCAACCTTCTCTTAACAATCTTACCAAGAAAACCCTGTGGTAGGGTCGTCATAAGCCAGAAACAATTTGAAGACACACAAAAACAACAACAAAAAGAGCCAGCATGTTGTAGTGGTTTGAGTGTTGAACTAGGACTCTGGAGACGAGTACAGATTCCCTGCTCAGTTAATAGAAACACACTGGGTGATCTTGGGTAAGTCACATACTCAGCTCCAGAGGAAGGCAATGGAAAAACCCTCTCTGAACAAACCTTGCCAAGAAAACCTCATAATAGGATCACCTTAGGGTCCCCATAAGTCGGAAATGACTTGAAGGCACACAACAACAGCTAATCAACTGTATTCTAATTCATTTGTATACCCATTACAAAGGGAGGGGGACTCACTATTAAGCTGATACCAAACTGTTATTTAAAGCTAAGTGCCTGTATTAAAGGCCTTACCAGAACCAAAACGTAAAGCAGTATCTCTTATTTGCACGTCTCCACTTATCCCTGTGGAAACAGCTGGATGAACTTTTGATTCATCCCACCAAAATCCCTTGATGTCCCCTTCTTCCTCCCTCATTATCTATCTCATTTTATTGATCCCCAGATGAGTTTCCAACAAAATTTCCAGCTTCAAGAGCTTCAAACTTATTTTCTAGGAAATGCTTAAGAAAGTAGGAAGGTGAGAGGAAGGGATATAGAAGGAGAGGAGAAGAATGAAAGCGAAAAGAGGGTTTAGGAGCACAGTTAAGAAGAAGGGTATGGAAGTAGATGATAAGAGAAGGAAGATATGAATGGAGAGGTTTAGAAGCCTATCTAACTAGTATGTTGAGATGAATATGAGTGTTTTTAGTAATTGGAAAATGTTTTTGTTAGGTATTGACTGATTATTGTGGAAACTGATATATGTTTAGTTATGCAAATATGTGGATAAAAATATATATTAAGAAAAGTTTTCTAGAACAGATGAGGGACTTTTGTGTGGCATCTGGTGTAGAACAAGAAGGGTATTTTTCTCCCAACTTTATTAACAAAGCCAGTGAGTTCCAAATTGAAGGCAAGCATGTTGCAAATGCAAATGTGATGTTTTGTTTTCAAAAGTGGACAAAAGTAAACACTGATATGAATGAATGTGCTTCACTATTGGCAAAGCCTCCAAATCCCATTTGTTTGAGAGAGGAAATTGTGAATGCCATTTCAAATAACGTTGGATTCACAAAGTTTTTATCTGAGAGACAGCCTTAATTGAGTTGTTTGGATGGCCGTGCAATGTTAACAGCTAGTGGATCAATATGAACTGGGTTAGGTATGCACTGACATGTGCTTTTTTCCTAGCTTTGATTTGCAAGTATTTTATGGATTTATTTAATCATATTTCTTCGCATCAGATGTCTCAAACAGTTTCTATACTGAACTGTTAGCAAACAATCCACCTGTATATCAGCATTCAATAACAGATTTTAATAACTGTTATGACAGAAAGATGGACCACATATCAGATTACCGTAGAAGACATAGTCGATTTGCTGATTTGATATCAAACCATGTTAAATAAAGACAACAAAACAAATACCTGATGAAAAAGGAAACTAACATTTGTAAACATTTTTGTCACTGCTTACTATTGGAGCCTATGTGCCGATACTTCAAGGCCCACATGGGATTGTGCAGAAAGCCCCCTACTCCAACATCTGGCAATGGACCCTGCCTAATGTCTGGGTATGGAGTACAATACAGGGGAAAGATAACCATTCATTTCAGGTTAAATATCTGAATGCGGTTCCTTGGGTTGTGTTCTGGGGTTTCACTAGGTGATGTCAACTTCTCCATGAAGTTAACAGAACCAAAGTTGGATCTGATGCAACATAGAATTCAGAGTTCAGAAAAATAGGCTGTCACCAAAACACAGGTCTTTAATGTGGGACATACTCAGGATGGAGTGGGGGAGATGTAGGAAGGAGAAACTGGGTTTGGAATCTATCCATATCTTCCTTCTCTTATCATCTACTTCCATACCCTTCTTCTTAACTCTGCTCCTAAATCCTCTTTTCTTTTTCATAGAATCATAGAGTTGGAAGAGACCACAAGGGCCATCCAGTCCAACCCCCGCCTCTCCTTCTGCATCACTTCCTCTCACCTTCCTGCCAATTCCTCTGCTTTGTGGGATGGGAACAGAGACTGCAATTTGTTGTTTCCTTCTTAACAGAATGTTCTGCTATTTTTAAAGACTCTAATGAGTTTCCAGTTACCATAATGTCCTGAAGGCCATGGCTGTATCCTTCTCAAATTTTGAAGCTTTGGGGGGTTTGCCTCTATAATGTGAGCTATGTTCATACATATTGACCACGCACAAAAAAAGGAGGAGGAGGAGAGAAGACATAGGGGATTATCACACGAAGGATGTCCTGTCCCTCTCTCATCATTGTTCCATCCTTCCCACTTAATCACGGGAAGGACTTTCACATGTCGTTCGCGCTTACCCTATCCGGGAAGCATGATTGACAACAATGGTATGAAAGGCTTTCAGATGAAGTCACACTGATCCTGTCAATGAACTGCCATTAACATGTCATTAAAGCAAAGTTGCCTGGCATTTTGTATAACAAAAGTTTGCTATAATGGTGCTTTACTGATAGATTAATGGCAGATAATTGATGGGATTGACTCAACAATTTGAAAGTCTTTCGTGCCATCAGGGTTAAGGATGGGGGATTGATCCCATCCTTATCCCATCCCCATGTGATAATCTCCATGGTCTATGAATTAAAGACTTTTTAAAACTATTTCAAAAGGGGATGGAGTCTAAAAAGCTTCAGGGCTAGAACATAAAAGCTTTCATCCTGGTTGCAAATCTTGGGTATAATGTTCTCCACTATACAAGATTGATGGTGGTTTGGTTGTGGAACATGCTATAGACTGAACTGGCCAGCCAGAATACTACAATCCAAGTGGATATAATGGAAACAGCCCAGAAACTGGATTGAACCAAACACAGCAGCTAGAATTCTAAGCTGATAAAACTGTATCATCCCAATGCTGAAAGCATTTCTCTGGCTATGGTACATATTTAATTCAAGGTACCAGCACTCCTCTAAAAAGTTCTACACTTCCTAGGACTCAGCTGCAAAAAGAAACACTTCCTCTCATATCAGTCTTTCTAAACTGAGGGTTTCTTCATTTGTAGCCCTTAAGAGAGGCTCATGTGGCATTTACTCTGTCATCATTTAGATCTAGGAAAATACTTTTTAAAAATCCAGGCCTTTGAGAAAGTTTGTATATTTTATCTTCTGCTGTTTTAATTGGTGTTTTATTGCTTTGATTTTATTAGTTATTTTTTTTTAGTATATTGTACTGTCTTGAACACAATGGTTAAGTGTGATAGTACAATATACTAAAAAAAACAACTAATAAAATGTAACTATCTTGAAAACAATGGTTAAGTGTGGTAGTTAATCTGTTTTAGTTAATCTGTTCCTTCTAATCCTTCTATTACTTTTACTACCTTTTCTCCTGTTTTGTTGTTATTGTTATGCTGATGATGTGCAGGTATACCCTTTCCTGGTGCATCCTCTGATACATCCCCTGATGTGCAACATTGCATTATGGAATGTCTTTCAGATATTTCAACATAGATGCTTCATAATTGCCTGAAACTAAGCCAAAGACAGAATTATTTATGTTCCAAAGTTGTCTTCCCAATATACATTCTATATTGCTGTTGATAATGTTCTTCCTCATAGGAAGTACATTGGCTCAGTTTTATTTTGTGATTTTCATTCCTTACATCGAGACTGTAGCTAGGTCATGTTGTTTCTTTATACCATTGCCCAGAATTGGTCTTTTCTTGTCTGCTTCATTGGCAAAGACCATAATTTATAATCAATACTTGTCTTGATTATTATAATCTTCTTTAACAATTCCTTCTCTCTGCTGCTAAGATTATCTTTCTAGCCTCATTTCAGTTCTAATGTCAATAAATCGACTGCTTGTCATTTTTTTGGGATTCAATATAAGCTTCTAGAGAAACATGGCTGAGTGGTTTGAGCACTGAACTAAGGCTCTGGAGACCAGGGTTCGAATCCCGGCTCAGCCAGATAAATCCACCTGGTGCAAGTCACACATTCTTAGCCTCAGAGGAAGGCAATGGCAAACCCCCTCTGAAAAAACTTCCCACAAAAACCCTGTGCCTTAGGGTTGCCATAAGTGAGAAAGGACTTGAAGGCACACAACAACAGCAACAACAACAAATTTTATTTATATATATCAATTTTATTTATATATATCATTATCAAAAAGTGTACATGATCACCTTCCCCTTATCTTTTAGATCTCATTTCTCATAATGGCCCTGTTTGGTATCATCATTCCTTGAAATCATTCCTTTCCAACAGACCTATTATTATTATTATTATTATTATTATTATTATTATTATTATTTAGTTTGGTTTTGTCTTTTCACCCTTGCTGCACCATGTTCATAGACTCATATTCCTGAATATCTGTGGACAGTTTAATTAAAGTATTGTTCTCTAAAGCTTTTGGCATAGTTAAACCTTATCCTTACAGATTTGTATACTCAAGGAAAGTATATCTGGACTATTTGTTTTTTCTGCATTATAGTAGTCCCTTTCCCTATATACTTCCCCCCACCCCACCCCGATTTTATGCCTTTTGTCTTGAGTTAAAGATGCAGTGTTCAATACATAATTTACTGGTCAAATATTCCAATTTGTTGTGTGTGTGTGTGTGTGTGTGTGTGTGTGTGTGTGTGTGTATTTTGAAAGGTCACTCTTTCAACATAGTTGTTAGTGCTGGTGGTCTGGAAATGCCAGACTTCATGTCTAAGAAGTATGACATTCTATAAGGGTGATGGTTTCTTGAGGGCTAAACAAATAAATCAGTCTACCCACCCATTCTATTCCATACCGCAACTCATTTTTCTCTCTTTTCTTCAGCTGCTCTGCTGGATAGCAGAGCCATGTGATTCATTTCCTAATCTTTCTTCTCCCTTACTTAATCTACCAGTGGATGATCCATCCAGGTTTAAGACATTCTAACATTTTGAAATAAATCAATGCACTAAAGGATGGGATTAACATTAATCAAGGGATCTAGTGGGCCACAGAAAAACTCAATGAATTAGCAACCTAACAAGAAAATGAACTGGTGATTTCTAAGTTCTCCTATGGACTGATGGCTGCAAAAGAATGGAACCTGAAGTTGGAGCTTGTCTCTGAATTTCACAAAGGCTCAGCTCTCGACTCTTCATCCATAGCAGGGATGAGAGAAAATCCAATTTGAACTGATCAATTTTTGGACTAATAAATTCATCAGAACATAGTGATGCTTCAGATTGTGTATTTCCCCAGAATTTGTGTTATATAAAAGAGATATATTAGGGGGGAATTTGCACTATTGAGCATAATCAACAGGTTTGCTCTATTAAATATAATCGATTGGGACCCAGAAGAACTATGTTCAGAAGTCAGGAACATAATAAAGGAAGAATGCAGTAAGACACATGTGGTGAGCAAAAAGAAAGAGAAGACACAATGGATAACAAATGAAACACTACAAGCAATTAAGGGAAGATGGAAATCAAAGGAAAGGAAGAAAGGAACAAAATAAAAACCATGAATGCAACTGTTCAACAGTTAGTGAGCAAGGATAAAGAGGACTACTATATCAATCAATGCAAGGAAACAGAAGAAAATAACAAAAAAAGGAAAAACAAAAACAAATCTTCAGCAAGATAAGGGGAATTAAAGGGAAGTTGAAATCAAAAATTGGAATAATATATGACAAAAAAAGGAACACACTACAGGACAAAGAAGAAATTTAAAAAACTGGATGCAGTACATAGAAGAGTTATATAAAAAGATGAAAAATTGAATGACACATGGAATGAAGAATCATATGAAGATGAACCCCAAAATCTAGAGAACAAGGTGGAAGCTGCATTGGGAAAAAATAAATCGTGGTGAACAAATGACATTCCAATCAAACTGCTAAAATCCACACAGAGTCAACTCTAGTGTTAACAAAATATGCCAACAAATATGGAAAACAAAATGCTGAATAGACTTGATATGTCCAATATACATCCACAAAAAAGGGGACACAAGAGACTGCAGCAACTATAGGACCATAGAACTAATTTTCACACACAAGTAAAGTTATGCTTAAAATACTGCAACACAGACTCCAACCACACATGGACAGAAAAATCCCAGAGGTGCAAGCAGGACTCAGGAAAGGTAGAGGCACTAGGGACCACATTGCAAATGGCTAACGAAGTGCACCAAAGAATTCCAAAAGAAAATCTATTTTGCCACAGTGTGAGCAGTATATGGAGAAACAGAATGGTTCCAAATAGGCAAAGGAGTTAGAAAAGGCTACATACTATCACCCTACTTGTTCAACTTGTATGCAGAAAACATCATATGAAGAGCAAGGTTAAACTTAGAATAAGTAGTGAAGATAGGAGGAAGGAGCATCAACAATCTAAGATACATGGATGACACAATAATGCTAGTGGAAACATCATGGACTTGGAATAATTAGCAAGGAAGGTCAAGAAAGTAAGTTCAAAGGCAGGCTTGCTGCTGAACATAAAGAAAACAAAGATAATGACTACAGAGGACCTACATAAATTCAAATTGGACAATGAGGAAATTGAAATAGTTAATGATTTATCGGACTTGGGATCAAACGTCGTTCAGAACAAAGACTGCAGTCAAGAGATAATGAGAAGATTAGGAATGGGAAGGGCATCCATGAAAGAACTAAAGAAGATCCTAAAGAGTAAAGATATACAACTGAGCAATAAAGGTAGAATTGTTCAGGCCATGGTAATACCTGTCAGGTTTAGCAATATCAGAACTCTGTTAAATCAGTAAACCAGCCGATAGCAGAAATCAGGAGTTTACTGAATACACAAAGTCAGTATTTCACATCACTGCGTTTAAGCCAGAACT